TGGTTGTATTTTGGTTACTTTCCCTTTATTATCTACTCTTTTTGTTCTTCTTTGCGCAAATCTACCCTTTTTCTTTATATTTTTATTAACGGTTTTATTTGTATACCTTTTTCCTCTAAATCTGTTCGTCTGGGCTCCGGCATTAGGACAGCTATCACCCTTGTGTCCTCTAATCTCCTGGCAGTAGTAACAGAACCAGGCCTCTGATCCCGCTAGTGGGCAGTCCTTCGCCATGTGACCCAATTTGTTGCATCGGTAGCACTTTACTTCTTTGTGCTCTTCTGCGGTAGCCCTCTGCACTCTAACCTCTGGTTTCTCTAGCTTCTCTCTAACTTCACTCTTAGTCTCTGCCTCTAACTGCATCATGAAAGATTTTATTTCATCTACATTCATTTCTTTAAGATTAGTTTGTCTTCTAATTAAATCTACATTCCTCAGTTCCGGCACATTAATTGACACAGCTTGATACAATGCAGATCTCATTTCTTGTTCTGTGAGAGGTACCGCATCTTCGCATGATTCATATTCTCTAATTATTGAATCAAAGCGTTCGCAAAAATCACTTACTTTTTCGTCTTTTCTCATTTTAATTTGATAGAGTTTAGTTCGTACCGATGTATGAGTAACGTTTACTTCACTCTTTTTATAACTTCTTAATTTCTTCAAAATTTTTTTTGGATCTTTCTCATGTAAAATCCTTTTATGATAATTTTCATCTAAATGATTGATTATTATATCTCTAACTAGACTTTTTCTCTTAGCAACTTTTAATTCGGAAAGATTTTCTGGATTATCAATGTTTGAATCTATTACATCTAATAACTCGTTATTCATTAATTCGGATTTTAAATAATCCATCCAAAAATCAAAGTTAGATTTTTGCGTTAGCTTATATTCTCTTCTAATATGCAACCTTTGACTGTTTAATTCTACTTCTAAAGCACTCTTAATTGTCTCTAAACTTCTATTTTTCTCGACTGAACAGACTGTTTCATCTAACTTTTTCTTTTTAGGCTCTACTTCTGATTCTTTAACCGTTTGTATACCGTTTTCTACTTTACTTTGCGTATTCTGTTTATTTACCTCTAAACGTCTAATCTTTAGTTTCTCTTTCTCTAAATTTACGCGGGCGACTTCTACCATATTTTCCATCATGGAGGTTGCTTGGGTCATAACCTTGTCCAACATCTTCATTACCGATTCCATTTTCTCAACCATCTTTTCTTGTTTCTCGTAAAGTATTTTTGTCCCTATAGGTAGTACAGGACGATTTTCAGCCCATTCTCTATTTACATCTATGTTTTCTATAATTTTTGGTTTGCCGCGTTTCGGGATTGCACCCTATGCTTCAGTCTCCTTCTTGTTCTCTTTTTCTTCTAAACAAAATTTTTAAATTACTCTATCTCTGAATACACAAGTATATTATCCTTCTTGATTGTTTTATTTAAAAAAAATACTCTCTTACCTTCATCTTTACTCATCTTTTTATCACTACCTCTCTCTCTCTCTCTACCACTGTGACCACGCTGCTGTCACTATCGTAGTCAACCAGTGAATCCTGGTTTTCTTCCTCATCCATCGGAAGATTTTTCGTCTTATCTTCTTCCATCTAAATCGGGATTCAAATATCAATTGAACATTAGCATTCCTCTTTTGACAAGATAAACCAACATTCATATTGACCGATAATAATTTACAATTTCTATCACTAGATCTCTTTCAGCGATAAAAATTTAATGCTTATGAGGCTATATAGAACGCACTGCAATTCACAATAACCCCAAAGCGAGAAAACCACGCGCCTCTGCAGAGCTATCCGCACGCGCACACCACTGTCCGTTGCGATCTCCAGCACTGCTGAAAAGATCTATGGGAGCTCGGGTTGATCACGCACGCGCACGGGGCCCATACAAATTTACGCGGCCTCCCTGTACAGTAATCAAGCTACACCGCACAGCTAGTCATGCTCAATTACCGACCCGATACATGTCGATTTTGAAAATTTATTCCATACACATGCCTGTATATATATATATATATATATGTGTTATGGCGTCGCATCGATGCTATATTTTTCCAATCGATCATGCGTCAGCGCGTGCCCGGCAACGCGTCCCTCGCGCCAAAATAATGACTCACTTTTCACGATCGGACTTTCGCGCGCCAAAAAAATGACTCTCGCCGTTCACGATCGGACTTGCACAAGCACATCGCTTTTCCCGCCAGCTTGTTACCAAGCGGCATATATCTATCTCTTTCTATCTCACACATCTATCTCTTTATATCTCACTCATCTACCTCTTTATACATCTATCTCTAATTCTCTTATTGTCACTGTTGCCTCTATTTCTATCTCTCAAGAAGAAGGCAAAAACATCTATCTCCTTCTAACAGCATTTATCGAACGAACGTTCTTATTTGCTGAGAATTCTCTCGTTTTGCTCGTCAGCAACGAGGAATATTATTTACTTACCCTCTAATCTTCTAAATGATTCTTCTAAATGCTTTTGTCTTCCCGATGCCCTTCGCCGGCGTCTCACACACTTCGCGTTACACGTTTAGATGTTTTCGTGCTTCGGTCTTCACGCAGGGGAATCGTGCCCTGGGCCCATAACCTGTAGGCTATTCGACAACGGCAACTGTATGCGTGGCGAGGTGGACAGGAAAACACAAGGATTTCTCGAATACTCTATATATTTGTTCTCTATACACTTAAACACGTCTGTACTCTATGACACCGTGAACTCGTGTGAGCTCCCACAACGACTGACAACGACCGCACGTAAGCGTGGCGCCCCGAGGCTCGCGCCACTCGGGAGCTGCCCTCTAGAAGGGCGGGAGCACGTCGCTCGTTCAAAGCCCGGCTTCTCATAGTAGGTATACGTGACGAATTCTAACTCGATAGCTTCGAGGGGGGGTATCAGGTTTCAGCGAACATGTCTGAACATGTTTCACGGTTGATGTCATGCGGAAGGAATAGCGGGAGGGGGATACATCTTAATAAAAAAAAAAACATCCTACCTTAGTCCCCTCTCCTAAATTTCAGAGCGCTGATTGGGCGTTCCAGAAACATTAATTTCCCCCCCTTCATCATAGTTTTAGAAGTTGCCGCGTATATTCAATTAATTTTATACGACTAGTCTCGTATCGACTGCTTGTGCGAACGGTGTTCACTTCTCATATCCGAGAGAAAGAATGTATTCCGTTGAAGGAAGCAACGGCGGTAACAGCAGTGGCAGTAGACGTATGAATTATTACGTACCGATTCACGATGATGATGATGAAACTCCATCGTACGAGAACAAGTGTAACAAGTTTTTTCGTTTTTTTTCTTAAAATTATAAAGTTTTATATTTTTTTAAATTGCAAATTATAAATTGTATTATTTTTTTATTACTAA